CTTGTCTGGAGATATTCAAGACCCGCCTGGACAGGGTCCTGTGCAGCCTACTGTAGGTGACCCTGCTTTGGCAGGAGGGTTGGACCAGATGACCCACAGAGGTCCCTTCCAACTCCTACCGTTCTGTGATTCTGTGATTCTGTGATTCTGTGAATTTTTAAAAATAAGTACAAAGACACAGTCAATAAACAGAAATAGTATTTCTTTTGATACTCACCTTCTCTATCACCAGGTCAATCATGTTGATGTTTGAATTGTACAGTATCTTCTCATGTAATAAAGGTTTCAGGAAAGTCCATAGTAAAGCCCCGTTAGAAGACTGCAAAATCTCCTGATAAAGCTTCAAGCAAAATGGAGCTGCAAAAACAAAGACAGATTCATGTTTAAGACGGACAACACAAGTAAGGTTGGATTATTATCTTTTTTTTTTTTTGAATTCACAGAAAACCTTGAGTCTTAATTTTGGACCTGCCACAACACCATGCCAAATACCATCCAACTGCCACCAAGCATTCCCTACAGGTCCCTGAATAGAAATCTTTTAACCACAGTCTATGATAGTGTTGAGGATGCAGAACTCTACACATTAGAGGAGAAAAATAGAATCAGAATCCAAAGAGCTTCTCACATTTGTGAAAAGCAGCCTGTGAACCCCATCTATCCTAAAAGTTAAATTAGTGCATTTTAGAGTGGAAGAACACATGCAAAACCTCTGCCCAGAAAATGAACGCTGGGAGAAGAGTCACTTAGAAACAAACAAACAAAAAAATCCACCTCAATCCACACCCTTGGTTGCTCTGTAGCTTTCTGTTCTTACTTAAGAAAGTAGGAATACACATATTCCTTCAGAAATAAAGATTTTTTTATTTGTACAATTTCATAAGAATCTACCAAAAATAGAGGAAAAAAATTGGCATGATGCTTAACTTCCTGATTTGAAAAATCTAATAAATTCAATTTTTCCATTCTTTAATCAAAAAACAGGTTCCTATGGACGGGGTTATTAATGCATTAGGGCGTACGTCCTTCAGAACTAGGATCCAAGGAATAGCTTCCAAGATACACCACTGTACTTGCTCTCAAGTAAAGACAATGAGTTTCCTATGAGAAACATTTAGCCTTTTATGCCCATCTCACGTGTTTTGGGGCTTTTTATTATTTACTATAAGTAGTTTCAGAAATGTCCCTTTTCCAGCTCTGTAATAACTCCTCAAGGAAGACCAGTTATTGTACGTCATGGAAAACTAGGCCAAAACCATTTAAACTCCTCCTGAAAGTTAAAGAAACAAGTGTCAGAAATATACAATGAAGAACACCCAGTTCTTTGCTTTCAGATTTTTACCTTCTTCAAGGAAACAATCATTACTAAACACAGTCATTGCTAAATGACAGCAAAGAATTAAGAGGCTCCAAGATGGCCAGTCAAAAACATCAATATGCTAAAGGCACATAAGACTTGGTAGTCTGAGTTGGCTGTGATATTCAGAAAGTCATGGGCAAATGTCTTGTTCACAAAACATGTACAAGTTAATCACTACAAAGGAGTACTAATAAAGTGTCTGTGGCCTCATTTTTTTGTTTCTTTTCTATTGTGTTACTTACCAGTTTGTGAAATATGGGAAACAGTATTAATTCACTCATAAGAATGCTGGAACTAACTGATGCTTTAAAGATATTTTGAGGTCCTAAAGTAAAATGTCTTACAACACTCTAGGGTTGCCACAATATTTAAAAAAAAAAAAAAATCATGAAGAAACAGATACTGTTTCTGGCCTAAACAGCTTTGAAAGACACGAAGTCCCAAACAAGCTTTCTAATCAACCATCCTGCTAACTCCATTATTCAAACAGGAAAGAAAAGCAGAGCTGCCTGCTTACTGCTATCCCACACACAAGCAAAGAAGGCTAGGACAGAGCTCTGGCTCCCTCCCAAGGGCCTCAGCCAAGCAAGAGTCTGTTTCTGGGTGTAGCAACTGATAGATGATAGTGCCTTGATTCATAGTCACAGATCCTTCCCTAGTGATACTCAATCACTGTATTCTTCTCTTGCACAGGGCCACTGAGGCACTAACAAGGTTATTAATGATATTAAAACTAATCAGGTTAAGTCAAACGCATATTGAGGACAGAGAGCAAAGGTGAAATTATACAAGAGCTAAGAGACTTTCTGGGCACTTGGTAAAGAGAACAGAAATATCAATTATTAAAAAGTTATTTTATCCAGAGGGCTTGCATATCTTACTGCACAATAATACCACAGCTTTGTGTTCACAGAAGAAAAGCATGCAACAATAAATTCTCAATCTTGTATCTCAAAGATATATTTTTAATATCAAGTGCTTTAAAAATCCTAACAAATATGTCTCTAAGACAGGAATCCTTGTATTTATTATTCGCAAAGATAGAAAACAACCAGAATTACTTATATCTCCTCCACAGTTACGTTGTAGCCATAAAACTTTAATTGATCAACCTGTGTGCTCAGGACTACAGTGTCAGCTGAGATGTCAGCTGGTATATAAACATTTCCATTTAAGAGGGAAGAATTTATTTAAACTCTGAATTCATACT